GTGGGACATGGCTGGGAGCAGCACAAGCCTCAGGAGCCCCCCTCGAGGGGCTTTCCATGCCTGGGTAGCAGCACCCTCCATGCTGACAGAGCCACTTTCAGCTTGTGGTTTCAGTGCCCTTTACTGGTGCTCCTTCAGACCCATCTCAGGGGTGGGGAAACTGAGGCAGCCAGCAGAGAGATCTTCCCCCAGCACAGCCACATCCTCTGGGACCTCTCTGGCAGCAGCCCTTGTGTCTCTGAGCCCTTGGCTTCCTCCTGGCTGGACATGGTGCTGCTGTGCTTTGATGCTCTGAGAGAACCCCAGGGGTTCATTTTGTACCTCAGGGTGAAATTCTGGGGTTTCAGTGGATCTGCAGCTTCTCGGAGATCCATTTCCCAGCCCCATTTCACAGTCCTGTTTCCCAGTCCCATTTCCCAGCCCCATCTCTCAGTCCCATTTCCGTCTCTCTTGGAGAGCAGTGTGCTCCTGCTCACCACAAAAATCTTTAAACTACTGAAATCAGATAAATATCACATTTCCCAGTCCCATCTCCCAGTCCCATCTCCCAGCCCCATCTCCCAGCCCTATTTCCCAGTCCCATCTCCCAGTCCCATTTCCCAGTCCCATTTTAGCCCCATTTCCCAGCCCCTTTTGGCTCAGTGGGGACAAGCTGCATGGACCTCCTGGAAACAGCCAGACTGTTTTCCTTGGAGCTGCACTCTCTGGATGCCCATCCTACCATAAAAAGGGTCAAAAATAAGTGATCTCCTGATATCCTCTTTAGGGTTTCCCCCTGAGACCCCTCCCTTACCCAGCAGATCTCCTTAAAGCAGAAGATCTGCAGTGCCTGTGCTTCACAGCACACAGTGAAACCCAAACCAGTGTGTTCTCCTTGCTCCTTAGCCCCAAATGTAGCTTTGTTTTTCCTCCTCTCACAGTATTTTTAAGCCATCTAATCCCATTGACTGCAGAGGGATTAGCTCTGATTTACACCACGACTCGTGCAGAGCCAATTAGGCCATGTGAGCACATCCATCGATCAGTCCTGAAGGGAATTTCAGCTTCTCTTGGCTTGAGCTGAAATGTTTCAGATAAAAGAATTAACTTGAGAAATAAAAGTAGAAAACAGTTATAAGCTGCCTCAGCAGAGTGAGGACCAGACCTGTCTATCTAAAACAATTTTTTTTCCATAATTTCCTTTCTGACTAATGCAGCTGATGTCACCCACTTTAAACACAGTCACACCAAACATGCTGACAGCAGTAAATGTTAAATACAGCTGTGGAAATGAACAGTGCAGCCATGTCAGAGAGGGGAGATCTTTGGAGAATCCATGGACACCCTGAGCAGCTCAGGGCAGCTCTGGGCACTTTGTGGGCAGGCTCAGCACTTGGCTTGGCACAGTTTGCAGGGCTGCTGCTGCTGCTGCAGCAGGGGATTTTCAGCCTTTGGAGGGTAAACCCCCTAAATGCCACTGAGTTTCTGTAAATTATCTCCCCCTTCCTGCACACACAGGAGTGTGAGTGGGTTCAGGGTGCTGATTGTGTTACCAGACTCTTGTTATCACCACAGCTGAAATAAGGGCCACAAGGGTTTCTGCCCATCCTAAGCCATATCTCCACATCTCTGCCTGTGCCCTCACTAAAACACCAAATTGACATGACTAACACCAGGAAAGCAGGTTTTGGTTTTTCTTTGGGGATTTCCAGAATGGTGAAGGGACTTTGGTACATAACTTACTCATTCTTGGAGAGCAGTGTGCTCCTGCTCACCACAAAAGTCTTTAAACTACTGAAATCAGATAAATATCACATTTTTTTCAAGATATCCACAGTTTCTGTCTCCAGTGGAGCGTGCAAAGGGTGCAATACACAACACACCAACCCCCTTCAGTCGGAGGAACTTGGGTGTGGGACCAGCTTCTCCCTGATTTGTCCATCTTTGTTATCAAAACTCCCTCAGAAATCAGGTCATGTAGATACAGCAAGGGTCTGGAGATTTAAATCTCTTATCATTACCCCAGTTTCAGAAATCCTATGAAACTTAAGATCCTTATCCCACTCTGCATATAAATAGAGCTCTTGTTAGAATCATTGAACCATGGAATATCCTGAGCTGGGAGGGACTGAAGGGATCATTCAGTGCCACCCCTGTCGCTGTCCCAGAGCAGAGATGGGAGCTGCCCCTCGGGAGGAGCTGCAGCCCCGGGGAGCTCTGCCCTCACTCTGCTCCAGCTGAGCAACCCCAGAGCCCTCAGCTGCTCCTCATAGGCCCCTTCTAACCCTTCACCATCCCCATGTCCCTCCTTTGGACCTTTAGATCTTTCTTTCATTGTGACTCTCAAAAGTGCCCCCAGGGATTGAGGTGAGGCCCCATCAGCACTGAGCAGAGTGGGACATGTGAGGATCATGACACACAACATCTGATGTCAGGTTTTAGTAGGACTCGGTTTTGTGCATTAACTGCTCCTTCAGAGACCCTTGTAGGGTTGGGGACTGTGGTATCAGTTTTATAACAGAGTCACAGGAAAACTTCAGAGTTTTGTGTACTCAGAGAGAGGGAGTATAGTTTTAAAAAGCTTTGCTGAAATTCCTTCCTGCTTTATTCTTGGTGTTCAGCTGTGGAATGGAACACAGAAAATTCCCAGTTTGCCATCTGAGCTCCTGTGCACTTCCACAGCCACAGCAGGGCCAGGAGATGTAAAGGAGAGCAAATGCAAGGATAAATAACCATTCACCTGTCAGGCTGCAGCACTGGGATGTGCACTGTTTTCCTGGATGGACACACCTTGTCTGTGTGTCCATCCACCTGTGGACCTAGGGGACAATTCTGTGTCATGCAGAATAAAGACAGAATAATCACAGAATCATTGACTGAATCATAGAATGGTTTGGGTTTGAAAAGACCTTAAAATTCATCTCATCCCACCCCTGCCATGGGCAAGACACCTTCCATTGTCCCAGGCTGCTCCAAGCCCTGTCCTGTCTGGCCTTGGGCACTGCCAGGGATGGATAATCAGTGCCATTAACTGAACATCCAGTGTGGTGACAGGAGGAAAAACAGAGAGGAGATAGAAGGCAGGAATATGGATGGAAAGGAGGTGAAATGCAAGGGGGAGAAGTGGGGAGCTATTGTAAATCAAAGATGACTCCGATGAAATGGAGAGAGAAAGACGCATCTGACTCCATCATCAGAAGGCTAATTAATCACTTTATTACACTATACTATATACATTTCATCTAAACTGAACTGCCCTGCATTCACCCTTGCTCACAACTGCTCACACTGGACTCATCATCTCTGATTCTCTCCTCACTGTCCCATGACAGTCCCACACACACCTGGCCCTGACAGGCCAAGGGCACAAACCATCCTCACTGTGGGTCAATAATCTCCATATTGCATTCTGCTTTGGCACAACACAGGCACAGCAAGCGAGATAAGAATTGTGTTTTCCTCCTTCTCTGCTTGTCTCACAGCTTCTCTCTGTTCAGAGGCCATGTGAATACCACAGGGAGCAGGGGCTGGGATGCAGGATCTGGATCACAGGGATGTAGTGCTGGGATGCACTGGTGGGACACCGGGATGCGGTTCCGGGACTCGGCTCCTCGGTGCTCTGCGGGCGCCTGCAGTGCCGGGCACGGCCGTGGGATGGAGCCGTCCCCGCGGCCGTGGGATGGAGCGATTCCTGCGGCCGTGGGATGGAGCAGCCCGCGAGGTAGTGGGAGGGAGCAATACCTGCATCCCGTGGGATGGAGCCATCCCAGCGTCGCGTGGGATGGAGCAGTTCCCGCATCCCGTGGGAGGGAACAGATCCCGCGGCTGTGGGATGGAGCAGTTCCCGTATCCCGTGGGACGGAGCAGCTCCCGTGTCCCGAGGGATGGAGCCGTTCCTGTATCTCGTGGGATGCAGCAGTTCCCGCAGGACGGGGCAGTTCCCGAGATATGGAGCAGCTCCTGTATCCCGAGGGATGGAGCCGTTCTCGCAGGATGGAGCCGTCCCCCCTGGGGCAGGCCCTGCTCCTCCCGGTCCCGGCGCTTTGGATTCGGGCCATTTCCGGGTCTCGGCCGCTGCCCCGGGCTCGGACCCGCGGCCTGGGGAGGGCTCGGGGTGTGCGGGGGGAGCGGGGCCGGCTCGGGCCCTCCAGCAGCAGCGTTCGGGTCACTGGTGCCCCGAGCAGCCCCTGGATCCCTGGCAGTGCCCAAGGCCAGGCTGGGCAGGGCTGGGAGCAGCCTGGGACAGTGGGAGGCGTCCCTGCCATGGCAAGGGTGGCACTGGATGGGCTTTGAGGTCCCTTCCAACCCAAAGCACTCTAGGTTTATATGAACAACCTAAAGTCCTGGTGAAATCCACATTTTAACCGTGGAGGAACAGAGCAACATTCAAAAGCACCCAAAGAGCCATTTTCAGAACTATGTCCCACTTAAATGTTTAAAAGCTTTTTGTAATTGCACCACGAAAACAACTTGGTTAAATTAAGCTTAGGTGCACATAATTTCTGTTTCATAGAATCAGAGAATCCCAAACTGGTTTGGGTTGGAAGGGACTTAAATCCCATCCCATCCCACCCCTGCCATGGCAGGGACACCTCCCACTGTCCCAGGTGCTCCCAGCCCTGCCCAGCCTGGCCTTGGGCACTGCCAGGGATCCAGGGGCAGCCACAGCTGCTCTGGGCACCCTGTGCCAGGGCCTGCCCACCCTCACTGTAATTTCTCCTTGTATCTATTCCAAATGCACCCTCTTTTAATTGAAAACCATCACTCCTATTTTTAAGAAGCAGGGTGGGTAAGGAATTTAATTTTTCACAGCTGAGAGCTGCAATCTGCCAGAATTTTAGGTTGTTATAGATTTACCAGTTGAATGACACTGCTCTGAATTCCCTGGGCAGCTCAGATATCCTCAGCCAAGGAGTAAGAACCATGCTGAAAGTGGGGTACCAAGTGCAGGCTGCACTTTATTGTACCAAAAAATTAAAGAAAAGCTCAGAAGCGATGAGTTAATCTGTTGTTTTCTTCAGGTAACACCTTTGAAGACTATTTGAGGATCCTACAGAGTGTTCCAGCAGCCAATGGAACTGCTGCCTACATGAGAGGTCAGCGAGGAGTCCAAGGGGGAAGAGGGTTGGGAAAAGGAAATTTCAGAGCTGTCTGAAAAGCTGCTCATGTCATTCACACTGGGTTTACTAGCAAATAGCCTTTTTGTCCAAAATGGCATTTTATAGGAGAAATTCCTTAGCTCTCTTGGAATGTGATTGGCAAACCCCTATCTGATAGTAGAAACTTTTATTTTAACTTGATAAACATAAAAGGAAATAAAGATTCAACTTCTGCATACCCACAGAGGAAGGTACACCTCCATGAGCTGTCCATTTTTCATGAATTATGGAAAGTACATGAATGTACACCTCCATGAATTCCCTTCAAATGCCAAGTGGGGAAATAATGGAGATGAACACTCATGCATTTTGCTGTCCTGGATTTCCCACGGGCTGAGTAAATCCTTGCAATTTTTAGTGCCTCACCTTCATGTGTGAGCTCCCAGCTGTCTTTCCAGGGGTTTTCCTGCAGTTTCCTGCAGGAAACTATTGGGCAGGTGTCTCCTTTTAGCAGGAAACCCTGCTGGAGGTGTCCTGGGGCTGAAGGGAGCTCGGTGGAGCTCAGAGCTAACATCCCTTTGTTCTCCCTGCAGTGTCCAGGACAGTGAACAGCTCCAAGCTGAGCCTGGTGGAGAAGGGGATCTGTGAGGGCATCAAGTGCCAGAGCCCAGAGCTGGTGATCAGGGAACACGGCCTCTACTTGATCTTCTGCAACTTGAACTTTCACTTTCCCAACTGCTCCAAGAGCCCCATCGACCTCAAGATCGATCTCCTGGTGAACGACAGGGTGGACAGGCAGACGTTGTCCACGTTCTGTGCCTCAGAAACATGCCAGGACGAGACTTTTAAGACCTTGATCCAGCTGCACTTGACACACCTGGACAAGGAGGACAAAATATCAGTGACACTGAACCATCCTGAGTTCCTGAATGACGTTTCTCTTCCCAACGAAAACGTTCTTGGGGTCTTGAAGTACAACGATGAAATGTGAGCAGCTCCCTGGCCTCCCACTGCTGCCCAGACCCTTCCTCTGAACACCAGCAGCCTGCTTTCACTAAACACCACCTTGGTTTAAATTTCACACCTCACCTCATCCTAGGGTGAACAAGGAACTTTGCGAGTGTCCCAGAAAAACAAACACTGAAGAGCCACAGCTGCCAGGTTCCCTGGCCTGGGTGGGATTGTTGGACTATCCAGCACATAACCCACCAAGGGTTCCTCAAAATAATCTGTGCAAACACAGACTAAAACCCAGCCAGATCATGGCAAGAATCCACAATACAGAGATTTTTAAGGGCCATAAACTGCTGGCACATGTGCTCAGGACATGGGGAAATGTGTTTAACTCTATTTTATGGAGTAGTGTTTTAACCCAGTCTTTCCAAAAACCCAACAGTCAAAGCTTGTAGTCAAAGCTTTTCTTTACCATGGCCACACAGTGACAACTCTGGAGCAGATTCATTGTGCAACAGCAGAAATGATGAAATTATTGACTCTCGGGCTGGTAGCTGAAACTCTGGGGCAGGACATAGGAGATTTGGGATTTACAGGATATTTCTGGGCTGCATTCTGCTATGGACTTTATGTCGTTCTTTCAAGTGTCTTCCTTGTCACTATTTATCCATCTTTTCTATTTAAATATAAAGCTCTTTGGGACAGACTTTGTCTAAGCAAAGTGCTCAGCCTCCGTTTTCCCCTGGGGTTCTCAGACCTTTTTTACATTCAACATTAAGACAGCAATGGAGTTGCCAATCTGGCAGATAGCAAAGTCCGTAAGGATGCATTTTCCTTGAGTGCTGCCCTGCCAGTTTGGCACAGTGGGCTGGGAATCCTCCTCCAGCACCAGCACTGCCTGGAAAGCCAGGGCTCCACACTTCCCCAAATTCCACACTTTCCCAAACAGTTTCAGACTGGCCCTCAGCTGAGAGCTGGGATGTCTGAGCAGGCCAGGGGATGGGTGGTATTGGAGCTTCTTTGGATGCCTGGAATATTTAGAGAATTCAGGATAAAAGAAAACTCTCCAGCCCTCTTATTCCATGAATTGCAGTAACCCAGACATGTATTTGCAATTTCATTCTTACAGTGTGGGGAGAGAAGGGACCAAGATGTTCCCAAAGCTGGTCCCAGTTCAGTCCTTCCCTTTTCCCTTCATCTCTGGGAATCCAGGAAGGCCTATTCTCACCATTATTGGAGTTTTTCTCCTTGCACAACTGACATTTTTCTATGACTGCAGCTTGGCAAACTCTCCACAGCAAACATTTAGTCATAGATTGAGTTTCTGGCTCCAGAAGCCTGGTGCTTTATCACGCAAGCTCACTGGATGCTGGTGACTGATGGAGCTCAGTTTGTGTGAGCACACTCCAAATATTCCTCAGAGCAGAAATTTGTTTCTTGTTTTACATCACCAGAAACTGATGGTGCATATCAATGAAGTTTTGTCTCATCCATCCAGGTGACTTCAAATTACACCAGACACTTTCTAAAGGTCAGGAGCTGATATGATTCACTGTTAGAGATACCCACTTTCTGTTTTGATGAACATTGATGCAACCAAAATTTCCTTTTGCTGTTAATGACTCAGGAAAAAAAAGAAAAGAAAAGAAAACTAAATCAAAAAGAAAAAACCAAAAAACATGGATTTAGTTTTTTCTTCTTTCTTTTTCTCTTAGCATAGAGAAATTTAGTTTTAAAAGGGTCAGCTGACCCTGCCTATGACTTTGGAACCTCCTCTGGGATCTCCTCACTCCTCTGGGCCATATAAATCCCTCATGTCTCTGAATAAGGTTTTTATCTTCTATTTGCCTCCACTTTGATCCACATAACCAGTTTCCAGAGAAGTTAAAGCAAGCCTGGCAGAGAGGGATCATAGCTCCTGAATATAGAAGCAGTCAGTGAATGAAAATATGCATCTCCTCACACATCCCACCCCTCCTCCTCTCCCTCAAGGCTTTGAACTCAAGGAGAAAGGGCATTCTTTTAAAAATAAAGCAGATCTCTCTGCACAGGGTGATTTTATTATAATATTTTGCCAGATGGAGAAAATCCTGACAAAGCAATGCTAAGCTGCTCAGCCCCAGGCATTTTAATACCTTTGGATAAAGAAATCTGGCCTCTACCCCATTGCCTCTGAGAAATAAGAATAAATTATAGCCAGAAAGAAAGCCCATTAATAGTGGACAATTTCCCCATCAGTTACAAAAATGTTAAATAGCTTTAACTGAAGCAAGGCCCCGAGGCAGGCACACTCCAAGCCACTTCATTCTTTCATCCCTTTTCCTTCATTTATTTTTTTTCCTAAGTTTTTGAAGCAGGTCATTTTGACAACAAACCTGTATGGAAAAGACTAACCAGGCTGGTCCTTCCCACAAGGATGTGTCTCTCCAGGAGCATCAACAGCAATTCTCTGTGGGGAACAGCCCAGTTTGCAGCAGGAGGTTCCATCTTCTGAGGAGCCACTCCTTGCTCTGATTCCCCAGCACAGGAGAGGGCAGCAATCCCAAATGCACTGAAGTTGATGCCTTTTAGGCTACCTAAAAACAGAAGCCAGACAAAATTAAGAAAATAAAAAGTTGTTATATTTATTGAAGGGCCTTCAGGTACATTTTAGGCAGATGAAGCCCCAGGGGCTACACCCAAAATGGATGATGGTTTCACAGGTTTCACACTTTTATAATTTTGGTCCATTATTGGGGGTTAATCTGCCGATTACAGCTTCAGCTAATGAAGTCATTTACCCCAAGTTTGCTCCCCAAAACTCACTTTTGTTTCCATCTCTGGGGCCTGAGGCAGTGAGGTGTCCTTGATTGCCAGGCCTAGAGAGGAATTGTTGTGTCTGCCCCAAATGGGAAAGCAGCAGCTCACAGTGAGCGTGGAGTTTGGAGTTATACACTAAAGAATTTAGGTTGTAACATTTGAAGGGAATTCATAGAGATGTACATTCATGTACTTTCCATATCCATGGAGATTGTAGGGTTACAAATATATGGAAAATATAAAAGCTAAAATCCTAAGGCATCAAAGTCATGAGGAAATTGTTCAAATTCCTCCCCTAGTCCTCAGATGGGGCAAATGTGGTGTTTTCTGTGCCTGTGTTATTGCCAACTCCACCAGGCACAGGGAGCAGCAACAATCCCACAGCTCTGCTCTGTCGATGGGTTTGGGCCCTCCCCAAAAACTGATAAAGCTGCACTCTTAATCTGATTCCTCCTTGGCCATGGGGCATTGATAGGATTTATCCATAATCTTGGTTGAGAAAGAAAAAAAATTCCAATTATTGGTTTAATTCTGTCTGACGTTAATTGCTGCAGAAATCTTGAACAGGGATTTCAATAGCAGCCATGCTGATGTAACACATTTCCATCCCAGCTCACCCTGGGGCAGCAACTCCAAATCTGATCAAGGTTTTTAAGATCAGAGATCACAGAGCTGCATCTGAGCTCTGCTGGAGCCGTGGAGACTTTGAAACCACGAGAGCAATCAGATTTCACAAGGCTCGGTGACACCTCCCATGAAATTGGCCCCAGCCCAAACTCCTGAAAGCTCAGCTGTGAAAATGAAGCCATGGCTTATGTGACACAGATTCTTTATCCACGGAGGGACTTTCACATTCACTTCTGCGTTTGTTTCAGTTTTTGTTCAGCACGAGAAGAAAACATCAGAGTCACTTAGAGAGAAAATCCCTTACTGTGCCAACCAGGGGCTGTTGGCAAACTAAAAATGCACAACTGTTTCTATTCAAATATCCCACCTGGATCAAAAAGGCCCTGACCTTCTGTGCAGCCACTGCCTGACTCTGCACTGCTCTGAGCCACACAAATCCCCAGGGAGAACAGGCAGCACTCTGCAAAATTCTTGGCTAATTGCTCATGCTTAATAATAATAATAATAATAATAATAATAATAATAATAATAATGTTACTAGATAGAAAAGTTCAAAGCAGCTCCACTGTTTTCAAGCATCTTATCCTGAGGATAACATAAGAAAGGGACTCCTCAACACAAATAACAAACCTAAAAAGCAAAATAAATAAGAAACTTTTATATTTGGGACCATAAGAAACTTTTATATTTGGGACTGACCTAAAAAAAAAAATAAATAAGAACTTTTATATTTGGGACCTTAGAAAGAAAAAATCAGAGTCACTTAGAGAGAAAATCCCTTCCTGTGCCAAGGGCCAACCAGGGGCTGTTGGCAACCTAAAAATGCACAGCAGTTTTTATTTAAATATCCCACCTGGATCAATAGGGCCCTGACCTCCTGAGCAGCCACTGCCTGACTCTGCACTGCTCTGAGCCACACAAATCCCCAGGGAGAACAAGCAGCACTCTGCAGAATTCTTGGCTAATTGCTCATGCTCTTAAATAACTATTATTTTTATTGTTATTATTATTATTCATAATGTTACTAGATAGAAAAATTCAAAGCAGCTCCACTGTTTTCAAGTACCTTATCCTGGGTGTAATATAAGAAATGGACTCCTCAACACAAATAACTAACCTAAAAAGCAAAATAAATAAGAAACTTTTCTATTTGGGACCTTAGAAAGCAGAAGTGATACAACTTGTGTTTGGTGCAAACAGCAAGAGAAAACTTCAGAGCAAAGGCAGCTTCTGGAGGGAGAATGACTGAAACAAATGCAAATTCTGATGAGCAACTCTTGGGGCAGCAGGAGCTGCATGTAATGACCTCAAAACCTCCTCCAGGCCCAGCTTTTAATGGTTTTAATTGGCTCAGTTTCAATGAATGTGAGGATAAATGGTCTTGGAAAAATGTTTTGGAAGAGCACATTCTGCAGTCACACCTGGAACCCCCCCCCAGCCCCCATGGTTTCAATCCCCAGTTTTTCTTTTCACTGCTGATCCCAGGAGCTGGAAGGTTTGGGATGGAGAAGGGTGGAGCCCCAAGGACAGCGTGGCACTGTCTGAAATTCAGGCTCCAGGAGGAATTCGGGTGTTTCCAATGTTGTGAGACCCCAGAGCTGGATGTTCCCA